GGAAGTATTCTGAAGTAGTCTAATTTTGTTTGGAACAGATAAAACATCACTGATAATGTAGATAGATGCTTTACCTGTGGTTTTTGTTATTTGTACATAAAAGAAAAGTTAATTTCTATGCTATTTACCATGTAACAGTTATTTTAGAAAATCATTAAATAGTTTATAATTTGTTGAAAAACTTTTTAAATACACCTCATGTTCAGTTTAAAGATAGCTCCATGTTGAGTTTCTATGGCTATACTGTAGCCTGTCATTTCTCTTAAATAAATCCCAACAGTGACATGGCAGAAATTCCCTAGGGTTGAGCTCTTCAACAGGAGTTATATATTCCAAATTTGAAGTACTGTTAGAACCTTTAAAGATTTTTTTGTACCCTTTTATATATCTGGTTTTATCTAGACAATTTCCTTTTTTTTTTTTTTTAAGAGAGAGAGAGAGAATTTTTTAATATTTATTTTTTAGTTTTCGGCAGACACAACATCTTTGTTTTGTATGTGGTGCTGAGGATCAAACCCGGGCCGAGCGCGCTACCGCTTGAGCCACATCCCCAGCCTGACAGTTTCCTTTTTTGAAAAAAATAAAATTATCATTGGGTAGAAATTTCATTTTAAATCATAAAGTTGGATTAAGCTTGAAATTCTTGGAGCCTTCCATCATCAAACCACAAACTATGGATCAGAATGATTTGTGTTCTTGTTTTGTTTAGAATAGGATTGTAGATTTTGGTGTGTAGCTTTTTTTAGCCAGTCATTTCATTCATTCATTTTTGTGGCACTAGGAATTGAACACAGGTGTGCTTTGCCACTGAGCTACTGTCCTAGAACCCCCCCCCCCCCTGTAAATAATTTTTAGACAAGTTATCACTAATTTGCTAAGGCTTGCTTCAAACTTGTGATCTCCTGTCTCATGAGGCTTCCCAGGTTGCTGGAAATTACAGATGAGTGCCACCGCTCAGACCAGTCAGTCATTTCCAAGGCTGACCTAGAACTTGAGCTCCTCTTATCTCAGCCTCCCTCTGGGTTTATAGACATGTGCCATGAGGTCTAGCCTGGTCAATCATTTTAGAAGTGCGTAAGGGGGATTATCACAAATAGTCTCGTATAGGTCATTTATCACAGTTGTTTTATAATTACATATTTGGAACCTTACTGTGACTAAGTTTATAGTTGGAATTTTGTTCTTGGTATTAGTAAGCTAAGTGGATGTGATTAGAATACAAAAAGTAGTTTGAATCCATTGGCAAGGTGAAATGTTTAAACATGGACCTGTCCAAATGAGTTACTGATCCTCATAGGGAAATAATATACCTCCCTTGGAAATTTGCATCTGATGATTAACAAGATGATTTGTAGTATGGCTTATATTTCAGGTAAAGCTTTATAGACTTCTTTATGAAGAATAGGCTGTGGCAGGAGTTGAAGGTATTAAGGCGACTAATGAGGCTATTGTAGATTAGGCAAGATATAGTGGTGGTTGGACTTAGGTGAAGATAAGTTTGATCTGGAGAGAGTAGAAAGATTTGAGATGAAATGTTTTGGGGAGAATACACAGGATTATTCTGATGGCTTGGCTGTGGGAGGTAAAATAAAGGAGGAAAAGAAAAATGATTTATAGGTATCTTGATTGAACAGTTGCAATTTACTGTAGTGAAGATCTGAGGGTTAAACTGGTAATGTCAGGGGGTTGATTAAATATTCATTGAGGGTTTATTTTGCCCCCCAATGTTTTGAGACCCATTGAGGGGTAAGTAGTGATATTCAAGTGTAGGGAAATGATTTTGTTAAAAATATCAAGTCAGCAATTAAAGGGTAGCAGTCATCTGGGCATAGAATATCTGTCTTTAAAGATTAGTATCTAATTAGATAGTTCCTGATGGGTTACAGATCTAGGAAAATTTTTCATTTTGTGATGATATACTTGCACATTTGTTTTTTTAAGTTTATTTTTTAATAGTATACTATAATTATACATAATAGTAGGAGTCATTCTGCCTACACATTTGTTGCAAACATAGGTTTATAAGTTAGGTACCAAAGATACTCTTTTAAAATGTAAATTTTTTACTTTTGGAAAAATTCAAACTGAAAAGTATAAATCCTCCATCATAAATTATAGATAGTCTTCCTACTCCACATTATTTTGAGGTAAGTCACAGGCATTATATGATTCAGACATTATCTAATAGATAAATATTCAGAGGCTATTTGTATGCAATTTAGATATTTTGGCTTATCAAAAATAGATCGACTAATCATTTACTTTCAACAAATACTGTTGACAACACACATAATGAGTGGCATATAAAACAAGAGTTTCTATATTGAAGCCATTTCTGCTAAACCTTTATGATAACTCCTTTACCGTTATCTATAGATGAGATGCAGAACAGGTTTTCCCGCCTTCATCAACTATGGCTGCCATTAATGTCTGCAGATATGTTTCTACAACAGTAAGTGTAGGAGGACTTCAAGTCTTCTGAAATGGCCATTATCTTTAATTCTTTTCTCCCCCATTGGAATTTTTGTGACCTGTTTTGCTCATTTTATTAGTTATACAGTATTATCTTGACTCTTATATCTGCTAAGTAGATATTTTAGGAAGGAAGAAGTATTCAGTTCCTGAGACAGTATTGTCTTACTATTTCTTGATTTTTCATTTATGAGTAGAAGTGAAAAGGAATTAGGAAGATTGTTTGTGAATTTTGTCATCCACAAATTGAGCATTTTCTGAATTAGACCCTTCATAAATGATTCTAAGATTACATGGTATATAATTAATAATTTTGATGTGGCATTTATTTGAATCTGCACACACAAATTGGTATGGTAAGTTATGTAGCTGATGAATGAATATGGTCAGCTTCCTACCTTCTCAATTATGTTGATTTTTTTTTTTTTTTAAGTTTTTAAAATTTGTTCATTTTGGTTATACATGAGCGTAGAATGTATTTTGACATATCATATATACATGAAGTATAACTTCCCAGTCTTCTGGTTGTAAATGATGTGGAGTTATACTGATTGTGTATTCATATATGAACATAAGAAAGTTAGGTCCGTTTCATTCTACTCTCTTTCCCATTCCTATTTCCCCTACCTTTCCCTACTCCACCCTGTCCAATCCAGTGGATCCCCCTGCCCCCATTGTGGATCAGCATCTTCATATCAGAGAGAACATTTGGTCTTTGGGTTTTTGGGATTGGCTTATTTTACTTAGCATGGTAATCTCCAGTTCCATCCATTTACCTACAAATGCTATAATTTCATTCTTCTTTATGACTGAGTAATATTCCATTGTATATATGGAATTATGCATTCATCTTAAACTCTATCTAATTATAACATGATACCTTTGAACAATACTCCAAAATGGATAATCTCTGTAGCAGTCCTCATTTCTTCCTCTCCCACGTTTTCCCCACATCAGTCATATTATTTCAGTCATATTATTTTTGCAGATGGAAAAAGTTGTTATAGTTTACATCTCATTTTATTATTGGAGAAATAAGGATGGGCACAGTGGCATATGCCTGTAATTCCAGCTACTCAGGAGGCTAAGGCAGGAAGATTACAAGTTCAGACAAGCCTCATCAGTTTGGACCCTGTCTCAAAATAAAAAAGGCTGGGGATATAGTTCAGTGGTAGAGCACCCCTGGGTTCCATCTCTAGTATTGCACCAAAATATATACATACATACCCATGGATTGAGATTTAACAAGGGTTATACAACTAGCTTAGTGAAACTAGCAATCTAGGCTTGTTGTTTGTGGTTTTTGTTCTTTTAGTATGTGCTTGCTTTTCTGATTAGTATATTGGCTTTATTATTTTTCAAATCAGACTTAACATTGTGTGCTGCCATAACAGCTTTAGGTTAATTTTTGTCTAATTACAAATTGTTTTTTGGATTAAATAGATCTTTATGTATTGCTGTTTGGCAGAGCTCAAAATTGTTGCCTTGTAATTTTTTCTCATGTTTCAGTGTTCCAACCAAAGCAGTAAGCTCCTATAGGGTTGTGATTGTAAAGAACTCTGGGAACCATCCATCAAAGACCATGTCCAATAAACATACTGAAATATTAACTTTTTTGGGGGGGGATCTCTCATCTTATTAGAATATTTATGAAAAAATATCTTATGCTATTTAAGGTGAAATGTTTTGTTTTACTTCCTACCAAAAAAATAATCAAAGTACCTAATCCCCACCCCCCATTATGGAAAAGTATTCAAAGGAAATAAAGCCTACATTCTCATTACTTGTCGGCAGAAATCATTATCCCTGCAGAGTAGGTCATTTGATTGTTTGTTCTGGTGAAATGCCTTGAAGTGGTTTCTTTAGAGAGCTCAGTTTAAGAATTAAGAACATTTTAAAATTAAGTTGATATCATGTTTATCTAAGGTTAGCTGATACCTTTGTGGTTAAGCCTGCATCTTCTGATCACTAGTGTAGTCTTCTTTCCAGCTTGCAAAGCTGGTAGAGATGTCAAAAAGAATAATATTGAAAACACAGAAACAGTAACTTGGGTGTTGACAGAAAAAGTAGTCATATCCATTGTTATTTGGAGGGACAAGTTCTATTACGGATCAAAGGGAAGCTAATAAACATTAGAGTCCATAGCTGATGGCTTTATGATGGCTCCTGGAAACTGAAACGCATGGAAAGAATATTAAAGAATGGAAAATACTCATCGTATCCACATCCAAACTGCTCTAATAGGTTTATTCTGTCACATAGTAAAAATTTTGCAACTATTTTCTGGAGTGGATTAGATGCTTCAGCTGAATATAATCTTGTACTTTTAGACAGTAGTATTTGGGCTAACTTGTAAATTTTAAGAAATGAATGTTTTATATAGTAAAATGGGGGTGGAGGGATTATGAATATTGCTGGGAGGGCACGGGACAGTTTATTTTTTTGGCATTGTTGTTGCTTTGTAAAGAGAAATTAAATACTCTTTTTCCCCCCTCCTTTCATTTTCTTGGGATGCATTCCAACTCCAGAAGGTAAGACGTACTACTTTATTCTAAAGAAATATTATGCAGCTATACAACATTCTTAAAGTTTAATTGATCTTACCTTTGGATGCATGATTTTTAATTTATAAAACTAAATAATTAACACAGAAACTAATAGTGATATTATTATGTAAATTTTTATTAATAATATGCTTATTTATCCCTTGTGCTTTAAAATCATTATTTGTTCATAATTTTAGAAATCTAATCTACATTAAGGCTCATTAAAATCATCACTTGATTTACTAGTATTAAAATATCTAATAAGATTGATAATGAAAATATTTAAGAGATTGGAAATGTGTATGTTAAGATTTGCTTTTTGGCTATAAGATTGAAAATGTAAATGCTTGGATTGATTTAGAGAAAATATTGGTAAATCTTCTACAGGAATGATACTTATTTCAAATGATCACAAGAGCATCCGTGTCTCCAAAGAAGGATTGGTGGACTTCAAGAGAGAAGGGGAACTTGGCTCAGGACCAGCAGGATCTTTGGCACACCTGATGTCAAAGAATTGTAGCACATGCCAGTCAAAGGCATAGACAAGTTTATTTAGGAAAATAGATAACTATTCAAGGGAGATTGGGGTGATCTCAAGAGAAAGATGTTTTTGTGGTAAGACAAGGAATACACATTTAAGGGTTAGGATGCAGGCTATCTCTAGAGGGAGAGACAGCTCCTGTTGATAGGGTGTGTTAATATTTAGAGGGACTACATGTAGAGCAAGGATGGAGTTTCATAATTTCTTGCCATTTCTCCCTGCACTTGCATATTGCCTTATGTTACTTTTGCAGGGTGTTTCCTTTTAGACTCAGTATCTCTCCTTTTATCCCCAAATTCTTATCTTAAAACCAGACGAGAATAGGTTAAAATTCATAGTCTAAATCCATTACTGAATTGATTTTTTTTATCTCTGTTGGCATTTTAGATAACCCTCTTTATAGCAGTGCCCATGTTATATCATAGTTATTTATTACAGTTTTCTAACTTGCCTGTGAGACTTGAGAACAGGAACCATATTCATGTATTTTCATATCGCTTGAACATGGCATGCTTGGCTTAGAGTTAGTTGGCTTGTAGCTTAATTAAACTCTTTAAACTCCAGTTAAATTTGTACTCTGTTAAGTTCCTTTATAAGAACCTATTTGATTTTGAACAACAGTTTATGAAAGAAAGCTTTCTTTTTAAAAAAATTTTTTAGTTATGTAAACAAAATATCTTTATTTTTTATTTGTTTATTTTTTTTATGTGGTGCTAAGGATCAAACCCAGGACCTCACGCATGTGAGGCAAACGCTCCACCACTGAGCCACAACCCCAGCCCTGAAAGAAAGCTTTCTTAAGGTCGTAGCAGAAGTCCTAATTAAAAAGCAGGTAATTTGGGCTGGATTGTGACTCAGTGGTAGGAGCACTTGCCTGGCACATGTGAAGCACTGGGTTTGATCCTCACCTCCATATAAAAATAAATGAATAAAATAAAGATACAACCAAAAAAAATTTTTTAAAAAAAAACTAGGTAATTTTTTGTATGCTTATTGTTTGAAGGGGTTCTTTAGGTGCAGATAATAGGAGCCAAATGTCAACTTAGGCAAATAAGATGTTGGAAGAATGTGGGCAATCTTACATTCTTAAGGAAAGAAATGGGCTCTGAAATTAGGAGAATGAAGGCAGCTTCATAGACCAGATAGGCTAAATAAAATATATAAAATATGTAGCTTAGTGGTAGAGTGCCTCTAGGTTCAATCCCTAGTCACCCCTACACCCTGAAAAAAAGTGGGGGGAAAGAAAGAATGAAAAGAACCTTTAAATGGATTCTCCAAACATTATACAGAACCATATTACAATGTTAGAATAGAATATCGCTTTTGATACATTCTACCATACTTTACTAGTATTCAGTTGAGTGTGTATGGGAGTGAGAACTAATTGGTGGATATGTATGTATTTCCATATGTGTAGATTTGTGTACCTACCACTACAATCAAGATACAAAATACTTCCAACAAGAGTATTCGTCTTTTATTGCTACACCTACCTTCCTTTTGGCTCCATCTCTCCTTCCTCCTTGACATTAATCTGTTCTACATTTCTATATTCTTGTCATTCCAAGAATGAAGTTATGTTAAGGCAATCATACAATATGTAGCCATTTTGGGGATTGACTTTTTTCTCCCCCAGTTCAATGTAGTTCTCCATGGATTCCTCCAAGTTGTGTGAATACCTCATTTCTTTTTATAGCTGATTAGAATACCATGACTTCTATGAATTCATATCTGTGTATGATTCTAAAACATAAATACTGCTTCTGCTTCCTCACTTTTGAGCAGGAGCTAGTTGATTGAGCAAAGATATTATTATTATTATTTTTGGTAGTTGTAGATGGACAGCATGCCTTTATTTGTTTCGTTTTTTATGCGGTGCTAAGGATTCAACCCAGTGTCTTACACATGCTAAGCAAATGCTCTGCCACTGAGCTATATCCCCAGCCCCCTGAGCAAAGATCTTAATGAACTCTTATATCCTCTTTGAGTGAAAACTTATGAATTTCTCCAAGGTCTTTCTATACCAAGAGTTTGTGATTATCTAATCTAAGTGTAATTGAACCTTGTAGTTCTATATATTTACTTAAAAATGGAGAATAGAATCACTGTACTCCTTTTTTTAAAAAAAAGTATTTTGTTTTAGTTTTAGTTGTAGCTGGACACAATGCTTTTATTTTATTTTTATGTGGTGCTGAGGATCGAACCCAGGGTCCCATACATGCTAGGCGAGCACTCTACTGCTGAGCCACAACCCCAGCCCCTCACGTACACCTTTTTTCTCTGAACTCTCATCCCTTTCTCGAAACTGTTTTGTTACTGCTAGTTGGCAAGGCATATTTTTAAAATAGTTAATAGCTGGGGAGAAAAAGACAATAATGGGGTGACTAGACGGTTAAGATATGTAGCCCAGTGTTAAGAGGATAGGGTGAGCAAGCAAAATTTCAAAGAATAATTTTTTTGTTTCTGTGACCTTCCTCTTCAGACTAAAACACTCATCCTCCTTATTTGTCCTTTGCCCTTCTGCTGCTCTGTTGGCCTGGAACTTTTCATTTGGGGCACTTCCTCTATAATGCCTGCTTGGACATTGTCCTGCACACCCTCTCTCTTTTCCTGTCTCCAGTGCTTAAATTCCCATTTGTTTGATGGCATGTTTTGGGAGAAAAACACTTTGAAAAAACAAATTTACTGAGCTTGATGTTACTTTTTGAATTAAACTTTTTAATTGAAAAACTACATTTATGTTATTTGTTTTTTAAGAGCAGATTAGTTGTAAACCAAAATGAATCTATCATTGGTAGAATTGTATGTAATATGATCCATATAAATACATAGGTTTGATTAAAAGAATGTAGGGGTACCAAATTTTTCAATGCGTTTGAAATCTACAAAGACTATTAAGTAGTTAATTTCTAAACTCACTATTTTCCATAAAGGTGCTCTTTTTAAAAAATTTTTAAATTTTTTTTAGTTGTCAGTGGACCGCTTTCTTATTTATTTGTATCAGTGCTGAGAATTGAACCCAGTGCCTCACACGTGCTAGGCAAGTGCTCTTCCACTGAGCCACAGCCCCAATTCCATAAAGGTGCTTTTGAGTTCAGTTTTTTTTTTTTTTTTTTAGAGAGAGAGAATTTTTTTTAAATATTTATTTTTTAGTTTTTGGTGGACACAACATCTTTATTTTATGTTTTGCTGAGGATCGAACCCAGCGCCCTGCGCATGCCAGGCGAGCACGTTATCGCTTGAGCCACATCCCCAGCCCCGAGTTCAGTTTTTTTTTTTAATATATTTTTCGTTGTAGATGGACACAATGCCTTTACTTACTTACTTATTTATTTTTATTTTATTATATATGACAGCAGAATGCATTACAATTCATATTACACAAATAGAGCACAGTTTTTCATCTCTAGTTGTATACAAAGTAGAGTCACACCATTCATGTCTTCATACATGTACTTAGGGTATATTTATTTATTTTTATGTGGTATTGAGGATTGAACCCAGTGCCTCATACATGTGAGGAAAGTGCTTTACCATTGAGCCACAACCCCAGCCCAAGTTCAGTTTTATTCTGTGTGTTCTGTTTATAAAGTCAAGTAAACATGCTAGAAAAAAAAAACAAAACTATTTTTGAACAAGATTGAGAATTAAAGTAGGAATTAGGCAGGGCTATTGCAAAGGAGACTATCTCTAGGATTAAATAAATTAGACCGATGGAGTCGCTTAAATTTCTTTATCAAAAGTGTGAAATGGCAACAATAAACATTGGAAGATAGTGGTGAAGTTTGAGACAGATAGTGAAGGTTAATGATATTAAGATTCTTTAGATTGGTTGTTAGCGGGAATGCCAGTCAGGAGACCAAAAATAATCTGGAAAGGAGCAGGGCTTCCTGAGAATTCTTAAAGTATTTGAAAGACTGTTATTGGAATAACATAGAAAGAATGTTAAGATTTTTTTTTCTTCATTTTCAAAGATAATTTGTTTCAAGGTCATTTTTGGAAAATTCAGACTGTGGAAAATCACAAAGAGGAAAGATTTTGTCACCTTGTTAACTACTGATTTCCATCATCAAATCAAACCTAGTACATAGAATTATATAGGAAGACAGAGATGGTGTAACTTAAAGAAGGACTTGTGAGTAATTGGAAATGCTTGAGGGCATAGTAAGTCTCTACCACATCGTATGTTTGTGCAAAAGACTAGACAAATTTTTTGTCAGATATATTGTATTACAATTTTAAAAGTTACAGAGTATTGTTGCTGTTTGCTAGGGCCCATCAACTCTCAGTAAAAATCAAAGTCAATTCCTCAGCTTTAGCTTGCTTTGTCTTGTCCATAGTATTCCTCAGTGAAAGGCTCTTGCCAAAACTCAGTCTATTCCTTAGTTTTTTTAATTCTGATCATCAGATTGTAGGCATACTTTAAAAGAAATCCCCACTTCCA